GTGTCTCCATTGGTGGTAACTTGATCTCATGGAAAAGTAAGAAACAAAGTGTTGTGCAAGATCCAGTGCAGAAGCAGAATATAGAGTTATGACCTCAGCTTCTTGTGAACTTGTTTGGCTCAAGCAATTGGTTAGAGAGTTACAATTTAGATATGTTACTCAAATGACACTTGTGTGACAATCAGGTTGCTCTTCATATTAGTTCTAATCCTATCTTTCATGAGAGGACCAAACACATTGAGATTGACTGTCATTTCATTCGAGAAAAGATTATGTCTGGAGATATCAAGACTGAGTTTGTTAACTCAAGTGATCAGTTAGCAGATATTTTTACTAAGTCTTTACGGGGGCCTAGAATTGATTATATTTGTAACAAGCTTGGCACATACGATTTGTATGCTCCAGCTTGAGGGGGAGTGTTAGATATTGTTTAGATATAGTTTGATATTGTTAGATATTGTTAACCACAATATCAAACAATATCTTATGTTTATTCTGTTTACTTCCGTTACTCTTTTAGTTGTACCTCTCTATTATAAATAAATTACCTTATGTGTGATTTATATACAAGGGAGATTAATTTCAAACCATATTTCATCTATATTCAACAAAAATAATTAACTAAATAACAATTATATGTTATAACAGTGAAAAAATAATACAAAAATGTTTATTTTAAGAAAAAAAAGTGAAAACTTGTAAAATTAAATTGTGAAAGAGAAAGATATAAGAGAGTGACAAGAAAAAGTAAAAATATGAAAGTATAATTATGAATGTTTGAAATTAAAGTGTAAAAAAAACATAGAAGAGAAAAAAAATAAAAATAAAAAAGAGAGAAAAATATATAATTAAAAAATTATATAAAAGAAAAATAAAAATGATAGTTATTATAATTATTATTATTATTTATAAAAATATAATAATTAATTTTTATAATTCAAAATTTTGAATTAAATAATACTCTTATGTTAATAATATATAAAGAATATTCTCGTTAAATATCGTATTCAATATATTAATAAATATAGTTTAAAAAAATTAGAAATTATATCATTTTCTCTCTATTTAAACATCAGAGTTTTCTTTGTCCATACATATACCGCCCTTTTTTTCTCCATTCAATAGAGTTCGGACAGTAGAAGTCAGACTAGATTTTGATGGTAGAGATATTATTTATATTATTTATTATTATTATTATTATTATTATTATTATTATTATTATTATTATTTTGCTAAAACAATATGTAAAAAATTTTATTTTCAAAAAATTAAGTTTTCTTAAAAAAATGATAAAAAAAAAAAGAAAAAGTCGTGAAAATTATAAGTTTTCTTTGAAACTGAGAAAAGAATATAATTAGGAAACATGTATTGAAAATAAAAGTTTTGTTGAATAAAACTGATGAGACCCAAAACCCTAAACACACAATCAATTGTGTAAAAATCTCTTAGCATTGCCATTTAACTAATAAAATTGTCACACATACATATCACTCGTGTTTACATAATTCTATTATTTTTATAATAATAATAATAATAATAATAATAATAATAATAATAATAATAATAATAATAATAATAAAAGAAAAGATAAGATAAAGTGAGTAACGTTCTCCTGTACCACAAAACTTGTTTGTTTATTGTTATTAGAATAATTTCCAATTTTTTAATTTTTAAAAACTACAAAACTCATTTAATAACTATTTTTATTAAACAGTTTTTGAAAATTATTATTATTTTTTAATTTTTAAAAATTAAAAATGATAAAAAAATATTTTTAATTTCATTTTTATTTTTATTAATAGATATTAATATTTGTACCAATAATTACAATAAATTATTTATTTTTAATTATTAAAATTATTTTTCAATTTTTATTCCGATTTTTTGCGATATTTTTTTAACTTTCAAAAATAAAATTATCAATTTTTTAATTTATATTCAATAAAAATAGTTTTTTAAAAACAATTTCTAAAATTATCTTTTAGAAACTAAAAATAAAATAAAATCTATAGCTTGAACATACTAATTTTCGCAATGAACATTTTACATTTTAAATTTAAGATGGTTAACATGTAAGGATTAATTGCGATTTTAACTATGCAAAAAAAAAAAAAAGTAGTTGTAGACTAATTGATGTTCTTATATTTCAATTAAATGAAAAAAAAAAAATATATATATATATATATATTAATATGTTTTAAAACTAATTGCTTTATTTTTATTCTAAGTATAATATAGGAAAAAAACATTTAATAAAATTGTTTTAAAATAAAAAAGTAATATATATATATATATATATATATATATATATATATTCTTATTATTAATACATGTACATAACTTTAAACTTTAGTCAATATGAAACGGAAAGATTATTGCAGAGTAGTTAATGTTAATTGATTATTTTCTTAAACCAACTTTGACGGTGGTTCTTAGAGTCAATTTTTTAAATAAAAACTCATTTTGTAAGTTTTTGATGTTGGAGATGTCACTGGGATTTAAAATTGGGTGGTTCCATTCACGTCCACGGATAACTTAAAAAAATTGATGATATCAATATTATAATTTTTTATCTAATTTAATTCTATTTTAGTCAAATAAATTAACGGATTAATTTTAATTTAATTAACAATTTTCAAAAATAATTAATTTAAAAAAAGTTTAAATAAAAATTAAAAAATATTTTTATTTTTTAAATTATGATAAAAAAATTATTTTTTATTTTAAATATAATAATTTAATATATAAATATAAAATAAAATATTCATTTAATGTTAAAATATGAGTTACAAATTAATTATTAATTATTCATTCTTTTAGTAATTTATTAATTTAAAATAACAATTTATCTTAATCATTGCATCATAGACTTTTTCTTATATTTAATTTTATAATAACTAAATCTTTTATTAAATTAATTTATAATACATATATATTTTTAATAAAATAATATTATTTTTATTTTTATTTAAAAAATAATTATTATACTATCAAACGGTTGATTCATAAATCTATATATAGTTAGACAAATGACATTTAGAGGGGGTAAATAGATGCACAAATTAAAATAGATGTCAAATTAAAAATTTGTTTGTGAGTCAATAATTTGTTTGAACACAGATAAAGCGGAAGCGATAATATAATCAGAAAAAGAGAAAGAGATAAGGAAAAGAGAAGAGCACACATATATTTATACTGGTTCGGATATAGTCAACCCTACATCTAGTTCTCAGTCAACTCTTAACACAATAGTGACTCCCAATTCACTATCTTTCAAATTCAGTTTACAAATTACAATCAACTCAGTAGAAGAACCAGTAAAAAGTAAACTAATTAAAAAGACAGTCACCTCCTTAGAAACCCACTAAGGATGAACACTTACCTAGAATCCCACTAGGGATGAACACCTTCTCTGAACAAATCAAAGGATGAAAAAACACCTCCTTAGAATCCCACTAAGGATGAACACCTCCCTAGAATCACACTAGGGATGAAAACCTCCTTTGAACAAATCAAAGGATGAAAATCCCTCCTTAGAATCTCACTAAGGATGAACACCTCCCTAACTAGGAATGAAAAGCACATCATTTGCCACCAATACACAAAGGATGAAGGTAATAAAAATAAGAACAGTCACACTTGGGTAATAGAGACAACAAATTGTAGAAGTATGTAGAATGTCAATCTCCAAGAACAAGTGTGATTAACAATGAGAGCACAGAAGGCAGTAGAGAAGAGGATTTTTCTCAGAAGGTGTAAAATATCTCTGTTACCTGCTCAGAATTCTTTTCTCAAAACTAATTGAATGTAAATTGTATTTTCGAATTCTGTAATTGTGTATTTTTTATTTTTCATCAAAACTTAATTAAATAGAAAAAATAGCATCAGAAAATGGCCATTGGACATTAATATTTTTGTGAATAAAAATCAGGATATATTCAAAAATATTTATTCTTCAAAACATATATATTTTTCAAATTTGAATTGTCATAATTGATTATGTTACCAGTATAATCAATTATGACAAAGAAAATCATTTTTCCATTTCTAATACATCATAATTGATTATGACAGTGAAAAATATCACGTTATGAATTTTATCACATTTGTGCTTTGGAGGCTTATGCATAATATTACTTCATCAACTTGTACCTCCATATCTAGCATTCTAAGACTCTATCTAGTCTTCAGGAATATCTTGGGCTTGCTTGAATCATCATCTTTATCAAAAACATATTTTTGGCATATAGGGAAATGTTTCACATTTTCACCAACGTCATAAATTCAGTTTGTCCTTAATTCATCTTGAATGGTGTTGACTTGAATTATCATCAAAATCATCTCTTGGTAATGTAGAAGCATTTCCATCAACTCCCTCTCAATGCTTTCGTATATTAATTTGTTCTAAGTCCACATAGATTAAGTCTAATTTAATTTAAATCACAATATTTTAATTCAAGCTAACCTATTTTACAAGCTGATACAATATTAAATCTATTTTTACACATTTAAATGTAAGAGTATGATAAGCTTTCTTTAGAAATAAATTCTCAAGAGTAGGTTCTTAAATAATAAAAAAATACATTTTAAATTAAATATTTTCAACTAATTAATTAGTGAGAAAAATAGATTGAGAAAAAAATTGACGAAAAACTTCAAATAAATTGTTAACGTTGGAGAGAAAAATTGCACCCGTAATATTCCAAGTAATTAATGTTCATTTATTATTTTATTTATTTCATAGGGTTAATGAGTAATTAATAACGGTTATTAATAGTTGGTGCTTATTTCAAAGTTTATTTTGTAACTCTCCACTTAAAGATGAACCACAATATTGCCCCTAATAATTGTTCTCACAAAATCCGTAAATAATAAATATGGAAATTTTAAAAACTCAAATAAAGAGTGATATGAACTCTCCAATGCAAACACGAATAAAATAACAGGTATCATTTTATTAAATCCACTGACTTATGCAAAGTAAAAGAAACAAGAATTAATCACATCTTAGAGCAATCTGTGTGCTTAAAGGACACTGTATTTTTTTGGAGGTCATAGCCAATTAAAAGGTTTTGCTGAGCCAAATTCCCAAAGATGGCACCATTGTTTTGACTTGGCTGGAAAGCCAAGCATACAACCCCATCAGCCACTTCAACAAAGGTGTTAATAGCATATAAAAGAACATTTGCCCCACTAAAATGTGCTGTGATCACTGGTAAATCTAGTTTATCTAATGTACCTTCGTAGCAAAGCCCCAACACTTGATTTGGATCCTTAGTACGCTTCAATTTAACGTCCTGTGCCACTGCTAATTCCAACCTTGAGTAAACATCTTCTGGTAAAAAAGTGAGTGTAGTACCTGAGTCAATTATGATATTTCCACCTCCACCAGATGTAAGTAAAGAGCTTCCAAACTCTATTCTATTGCTTCCAACACTTAATCCTTCTAACGTTAGGTAGTAAAATAGTTGTTTATTGTGTGAGAATAATGGTGTTGAGACAGTTCCAGGCCCATAAACCATAGCAGCATCTCCAAAATTGAGTTTGCTAGTTGAATTGGATTTTGAAATTGCTTGGACCAAACAATAAGAAAACTTCCAACCTACTGAAGGACCCAGTTGAGTTACAAGGGACACAGGTCCACGTGCTAGGCCAACTATGCCAGAATTTGCCCCTTTAAAGACCATACCATTGTAACGACCACATCCTATTGTAGTTCCAGGAAGTTTGACAGGAAAACCATTGGTGGAGGCTAAAGTGAGAGTCTCTTCACTAAGATCTCCATGTGAGTATGTCCCATCCCCGTAGTAAATATTATATGTACAGTGTTTTGTAAACTGAGAGGTGCAAGCGGTACCTAGCACCGAATCACATGTCTTAGAATTGCAAGGGATGGTTTTGTATGTTACAGATTTTCTAGAATCAAAGAAAGGAGTGGCTTGCCTGTAACATTTTTTGCATGGTTTGCATTGCATCCAAATAATGTCACTAGCCGTATCAATAATTCCAAAGACCTTCACTGGTGGGGTTCCAACTGCATACCTCATCACGTATTCACCAAAATCTGAGAATACAATGGCCTTTGGTGTGTTTGGAGACACAAAGGATTCGTTGAAATGATTGACACGATTGATTGAACGACGCAGAGAATTGGAAACCCTTTGGAAGTGAGTTTCTGTGGAGCGATAGAACGGTGATTTTGGTGAATCACGGTGGATGATCTCCACACTGAATCCACCATCGAGAGCGTCTAAGAAAGAAAGGTTGCAAAGATACAGTAAAAAGAAAATGAGAGAAGAAGAGGGTGACATTTTTATCATGTCTTAGAATAGGGTAACTACAAGCACTTCCTAATGGCCTTTTATAAGATTTTGGAGTGCATGACTGAGAGTTTTGTGGAATTGTGTAAGAAAGTGTACAATGTTTGTGGTTTGAAATTTTGTCCTTTGTCATTAAAATATTTTACATCAGTTACTAAGTCAAATATTTAATGTTTTATCTTTTACACATCAGTCAAAATGAAAACATTAGGAAAATTTTCCCCTTTTAAAATGTCTGTCAGAATTAAGTATCTTTATATAAAGAAAGAGTTGTTAAAGTAATAAATTTTCCGCCAAATAAGGAGTATTTTAATTCAATGCATTTATTGAGTGTTTAATATATTATTTTGGTTAATTTTTATTTATATTTTACTATTAAATTATTATTTTAACTTTATTTATATATAAGTAAGACTTTTGTAAGGCCACTATACACAACTAATTCATCAATAATGACCTCACTGCAAAAATTAGCAAGAGTCTTTTTTTTATTTCATTCTCTTTTGTAAATTGCTTAGAACAACAAAATATTCAAGTTATTTGATTTCATACAATTTAATTTATGTTATTCTTACTCATTTTTTGTGATTTTTTTTTCAATTGCATTTATTTTTTATGTTTTTCTTAAAATCATTTTTATTTTTTATATATGATTTACTTTTCTGCAATTCTTAAATATTATAATTTATTTTCTACCGCCATTATTTTTTCCAAAACTAAGAAAAAGACTTTCCGCATTTCTGTATAGTAGTTTTTTTATATTTAGTATGCACGACCTTGATATTTAATAAACTAATATAATCATCGTAATCTTAATATGAAAGGAAATAAACTATTAATAAAAGATAATTATTTATCACCGTAGCACAAACGTATTATAATTTTTCAAGCAATGCAGAGAAGTTTATTCATGTCTTTAATAAGTCATTTTAACGTTGTTGACAGTTGGAACAATAGGTAACCGTTGATCTGATTGAGAAAATCAAATAAGCCGATTTATGTCTTGAATTTAAGTCGAAATGAGAAAGTTAATGTTAGACATTGGAGGTATCCTCTAAAATATTGGAGGGAAGGTTACCCTGTACTGACTCTCAATCATTTGTCTCTGTTTCGATTTGTAATTTAAGCTTCTAAAGGTATAATTTAAGCTTCGAAAGTCCTGATGTGAGCATACACAATTTTTCCAAGTTCTGTGGAAGTATCAAAGAAAAACACTAGATGCATTTAGGCTACACAATTTGTCTCCCTCACTACATTTTATCAATCTAGACATATGTGGGTCAAAACGTGTTTGAGGCGTCTTTTTTCGAGTTATCTAATTATCGTTTTCTCACTTTTGGTTGGACATGCTTTTTAGCCAAACCAGAAACATACACAATCCTAATAAACAATCACAAGCTGATATTAAGACTCTCAACATGACGTGGGGCAACTATAACGAGTTACCTACAAAGAAATACAGCACTAACTTTAAGCTTGGTCCAAACCAATCTGGCCAAGACTTGACTTTATGGCATGAGTGGCATTACTACTAGGTACTCAAATCTAACGTAATATTTGTCATGAGTGACCTTACTACTACATAATCTGACATAGTCATTATTAACATAAGTCAGCACTCACTCACCAAGCTGAGTAGGTTCATATGCTGAGATACATACTGTCACGGTTTTGACAGATGAAACATAAATATTATTCTTAACATGGACGTGCGAAACAGGTGTCCAGGATTCTGTGCGATAAACTTCGGTTTCCTTGATTATGATCCATACAACTGACAATAGGAGAGAAGATTTTGCATTACCAGTAAATGTATATGTAATCATGAGGAAAGCATCACAATAACTAGGGAAATAATAAATGAAGGAATTACCCTCTGATTCCTGGGGAACCCTTTTCTACATTGAGAGGCTTCAAGTACCTGATCTCCAGCATCAACTAGCTCATTGTCAGAAGCATTCTCTGAAGTGTCTATGCAATGACTGTTTCCAAATGGGTCCTCCGGCAGAGGCTCAAGCCCTTGGTGAGAAAACTGTTCATTACCTTTGGAGTCCTCATCCGGCAAACACTCCATTGGAAAGTTCTCCACGTTAGCGTTTTTGCTTTCAAATTGTATTTGGGCAGAAATAAGTGACTCCAGTTTATCAGAATAATTCCCAATTAACTCCAAAGGCCTGTGAAAGAGTAAATGCGCCACAGTTCGATCAATGGGATTTGTCTTGGTTTCAACATCAGCAATCCTAGCATATCTGTGAGGTTCATACAGGGAAAAGACGTTAGAGTCTCAAAAGGCAAATCATGATATTAATAACCAAAATCCAATTGATTAATGGGGACAGTATGATCATCTTTAATATGATTAACCAGGAAGAACAGACACACCAATCAAAGTCATAAATATTTAATTGATTTTAAAGAGTGGGTAAATCTCTAATCAGCTCAACTAAAAGCAGCAATTTATTAGTCCAGTTTATGAGCTATTTAAGTCATAAAAACATATAATCTATTTCTCTTCGGATCCTGTGATGTCTTGCATCAAATCACTTGAAAATTAAAGATAAAATTCTGTCATTGCAGTAACAGGTGAAACCAGATATTAAGGCACTTCATTTGCACCATCTTCTTGCTTCGCAGTGAATCCCACCCAAGTTTCTCACTCTCTACCTAATATTAGCTATGTTTCAAGTTTGGTCATACAATGATTATTTGTTATCTTCTTTTAGACCAGTAATTTCAACCCATTATATACCCTGGTCAAGATGACTCCCCAACATCTCCCGTATGCATGCTGGTCAGGATCACTATGACCCCCCACAGCTGAATTCTTAGAAGATGCCACAGCAAATATCTCAGGAACCTTGTTCACCTCAGGTGTTTATAACTCGAACAAGCAGCCAACCAGACATGGTTCCAGAATAACTCTGGTTCCTCTTTTAACATGACCAACCCGTCATTCTGGTTACATTCAGAGGCCATGATCACATTTATGTTGGCAAAGGTCAAGGTCTTTCAATATGAAATTCTGGTTACACATATCTCTTCAAATATTAATCCTAGAGTTCCCTAAGCAGTTTTTCCTTTGTTACATGTTCCTAATATAATATTACATGAAAGGAAATTTTATTCTCATACATACATTATCCGATATCTCATTTTTTACCGAATAGGTGTAACTCTAATATCTCCTTGTATGTAATAACTTTTATCCTTTATTGGATAAATACTGCTAGATACTTGCCATCTGCTATAGTCATTTAGCTAATGGCTGCTTAGCCTATTGCCATCGTCTAGGCCAGGCTCAGTTCGATCGGTTTCCACTTGGACCAAGGGAAAAAATCCCAGCAAGGCAGGGTCATCAAGAGGAAATTCGAGTGGGTGGTTAACTGGTAGTTTTAAGCACTAGACAGGTTGGGAACCAACTCCCCTAAAACATATGGAGAGTGAGTTATTTCCTAAGAAATAGCTCTCAGCTGACAACCTCCTTAAAAATTTTAAACTTCAGTGTAAAAGTGGTTCCCCACCAATCAATTCAATTTATCCTCCTAACCATTTAATTACTGCATTTGCAGCTTTCCTTTACAGTAACTTTGTCGCCCTCCATTTAACTTTTAGCTGTTTACAGCTTTCATTTACCTCAATTTTCCAAAGGAGTAGTTTAACATTGAAACTTCAGTTACACACCAATAGTCATATCCATCTTAACATTTCATTTTTGTTGCTCCTAATTTTTTCGCATGTTGTCCCTTTAAAGCTCAACAAACTACCATAGAGAACGTCGTGAGACAGTTCGGTCCATATCCAGTGGGCGTTAAAGCATTGAGAGGACATTTCCCTAGTACGAGAGGACCGTGAAGGACACACCTCCGATGTGCTAGTTAACGTGACCACAGTAAACGCTGGGTAGCCAAGTGCGGAGCGAATAACTATTGAAAGCATCTAAGTAGTAAACCCACCCCAAGATGAGTGTTCTCCTATTCTGACTAATAGTTGTACGATAAAACTTTTATTTGGGCTTGATAGGATTTTCCTAGCCACAAATAACCAATCCCTCTCTCCATTTTAACCACTCAATTGGTATCATTTAAGTAGCATTTGAGTAACCTCTCTCCATTTATTAATCTATGTTGTATCACTTTGAGCAACCAATACTCTATTTATCCATTTATTTATCTTTCCATTCTTCTAAAATAAAGGTTTCACACACTCAGATATAACTAGCAATTTTATTTTTACAAAACTTCTTAAGTTATTTTATCTATTTCTAGTTCAAAAGCTTTACATTGAACACTATATATTTGAATAATTTTTCATTATCTCTGGATTTTGCAATACAATGCACATAATGATTTATAATAAAAAAATTTGCTCATTGATTCACAATTCAAATCTCAATTTTATAACCTTGCTTATAGCAATAAGCGTTTGACCAACGGATGTAAATAAACTAGTCGTCAAGAAATTAAAGTAGCTATGCATCTAAGTGTTTTTCAAACCTGTTTTGGCTACTGCTTTCTTCTCTGGCAACAACTACAGTTTCTTCTCTGCTACTGTTGTTTGTACTGCTTGTATCACTAGCATAATTCCTTTGCATTGCACTTTGTGCCAACCGGAACAAGCTATCTCTAATGCAGAGTCTAATTTTGACATCTAACTGTAAAAAAGTTTGCGTCAGGATTGTAGCTGTGTCTGAATTTGTATAGATGGAAAACATTATAAAACACAGCTTAAACTAAAATAAAAGTCAGGTTCACCTTTGATATCACATCCTGAAGCATGTACAGAATTGTATCTTCAACAAAATGATCATCAATTGCCGAAGAGATTGTCTTAGAATCATCTTGCTTGGTTGGTGGATCTGGAGATGGAAGTGTTCTTAAATCTTCAATTTCAGGATCAGCCCCATCACAATGTTGATTATGCATTTCTATGGCACAGTTTTTATTAATTGATTTATTAGTGCTAGGAACTTGATGGCCAAATTCTTGCTGTTGCTTCTGAATAGCAAGCATTGCCTGCATTTGCTGCCGCCTCCTTAATTTTTCAATTTTTTCCTGAGGAGTCATGGTAAGAGGCTTCACTAAGCCCACAAACTTGTTCACAGGACTCATTACACCAAGAGATGCTTCATACCCAGAAAGCAGAGGCTGTTGTGTAAGAACTCCTGACTGTGCCGAAGGTTGCACTGAAATAGAAGAATATGTATTTGTAAGATTCCCATATGAAGGGGGTGTCATATATGTATTTGTGATGCCCTGGTATGGTGTCTCAGGTCCTCGAAGATGGTTCTGTTGCCCAAGAATTGAAGAGGGGGAAGACTGTACAACTGAAGACACCAGCTGATTCTGAAATTGTCCAGATGTGGTCGATGAAGGAGACCAGCTACAATAAAACTCCTGCAATGCTTTTCCATCAATTTTACCATGTGATTTTTTCCGAGCTTTCAACTGATTATTTTGCCCAAAATCCTAAATAACAACAATGAAACAATCAATCAGTTTGTTGACTTTTGAGAAGGAAAAAGATGACATCCAGAGGGCAGCACATAATTATGCTAAAGATGCCTAAGAAACCTTTCAAAATTTTGATATACATTCATATTGATAGAAAGTCAAAAGCTGGGTAGTTCTGTAAAAAGAGCACGAAAAATAAACAATTCAAACCAGGAAAAACATCCTCCATGTAAAAACAATTTGCTCCAAAAAATGCAAACGAATTTATTCCAAATTTGCGAGTAACTTAGCAATGAGGGAAAATGTAACATCATAAACTTAAATCTGTTACCTCAGAGCACAAAATAGATTGATAATAAAGCCTTATGCTGCCTGTACACTTTTAAACAGTGACGGATCTTGACCATTGATCTTGGGGGCCAAATAATATATTATTAATAAATAATAAATAAATATAAAAGAAAGAAAGAAGATGAAAGGATAAAAGGATAAAATTGTAAATATATACTTAAATATATTAAATGATCATTAAGTTAGAGAGAGACAAAATCATAAATTATATGAAAGTTACAAAACCGAGGAGGCGCTGAGAGGATAAAATTGTAAATATACAAGTAAATATATTAAATGTTAATTAAGTTTGGGGGGACCAAAATCATAAATTACATAGGAGTTACAAAACTTTAGGGGGGTCATGGCCCCCCTCAGTTCCCAAGAAGATCCGCCACTGCTTTTAAAATGTTTTTGACTGAGTGCTTGAAACTAAAAATTGGAGGTAGTAAAGTTCAAGTTATCACTAAAAAAATTTCATTTGTAAAATTCCTTGTTTGGATAAGTAAATTGAGCAAAAGGATTTTGCATTGCATAAGAAGCTGCGAAGTTGGTGAAGGAAAGGTTACAAATGGCTAATTTGTCTAGCTAAGCTAGTGGCAACATTTAACTAGTCTAGTGTAATTGGAGATTTAGGGACTATTAAAAATTTCAGAATTTTGGGTATATCTTATAGCTTTCTGTTGGGATATCCTATATCCCAAGTAATTATATCTTTCTCTTAGATTGGGATTAGGACAAGAAGTACGTGAGACTTGAGTTTGGGTTGCCTCACTTGCTGAACTTAACAGATTTAGGGTCTTCGTCTATCCCATAAAAGTTATTTACCTTACAAACGTCAACTTTTCATTAATATCAAAATATAGAATTTTTCAATTATTAAGATTATTACTGGGCTCTTTGTTTCCATTTTACCCTACTAGTCATTCTCCAATATGACTTGACATACCTGTTGCTCCTTCTCAGCAGGGGTAACTCTGTCTCTAGAATATCCTAGATTGAATGTGGTTCCGGTAGCGTTCTGAATGTCATGAGATGAAGAATCCTCAATCCTCTTAACTGTGGGGGAAAATGATTGATCATTCGGTTGAACATATTCTGCTTTAATTTCCAAAGGTTCAGATCTGTTCCTTAAAGCATTTGCTTGGTTTGGTGCTTTCAAGTGTAAGGGTACTGAACTGTTACTCGTGTCTTTGGAAGACCACAACGCATCAGAATTCTCGAGACTTACATGACCAAATATAGGGTCATCATTGCTGCAAAATCATCACTTGCGAGAATATTCAGTCACGAGAATATTCGGTCAGATGTATACTATTGTAAACAACAAAAGCTCAAGAAACAGAGTATTACGACAGACATAGTTCCATAAATTAAGTGCTAATAAGGAACTTCGCACTTACGTTAATGTTATTCATCATGAGCACAATATAATTAATCCCAGGAATTGTAAAATACCTATGCTCAACACTAAAGTTGGCGGCATAAGGTCTAAGTTGCCAGTTTAATGAGTGACGAACAGGAGATTTTCATAATTTAACATCATATATCATCCTTTTTTGCATTTCAGAAATGTTAGAAATACATGCTCTCTAATACATTCTAGCACTTATGTCGAGTAAAATTCATGTGGGACTTACTAAAATATGTGGGTCCCAGTGCCTATTTACTGGACCTTACTCCCAATTTACCATTGCTAGAAATCCTCCTTTCATTTTGAATGTTACCCATATGCATGTATTGCCGTTACAATTATGCATAGATGCACACATGGCTCCATCTAAGTTTCACATAAACAAGTTTAGCCGCATTTACACTCAGACTGATCCATGAGAATGCAGTTGTGCAATTTAATTTGCACCACAAGTTTCCCAAAAGAGAGTAAGAGGAAAGAGGGATGTTTTATCCGTTATAATTACTGATCAAGTTCAGACAACATCTAATTAGAATCACGTTAACAATTACCTCAGAAAATATATGTACCACATAGGAATAGTACAGATAGTATACTTTACCTGAAAATTCGATCAAGGTCATCAAAGCTTCCTATGTTATCCCAGGAATAGTTGGCAAAATCACCTTGCTTTTCTACTTCCTTTTCTAGCTGTGTAGTCTCTTCTGTCACACATAAATACATATAATTAGAAATGATACACTATAACTGGTACTTTATTGTTTTTCATATAATGACGGTGGGACCTGAGAGATACATCTGTGCACAAACAAATACACTGATAGACATGCTATCAAGTCTACTCATAATTCTAATAATAAGTAATTTTACCACCTCTTTGCTGAAATAAATTTGCTAATTTCACCTAAATTTTTAGATACTTCAGCACCCAGGGAATCCTGATCAATTTTAGCTGCACTGGATAAAGACAAGTCAGGCCATGAGTTTGTGCCAGATTCTGAGGCAGATTGTCCCTCAATAGTATCAAATTTGGAACTGCTTCCTAGCGTTCCTTGATGAATATCAGTTTTAATCTCTGTCCTCTTTTGCTCAATCAGTTTACTGGCAGAAGCTTCCTGATTCCATTTTTTCTTGTCATTAAGATCTTCACTTCCCTCCGGATATGGTACAATGTGATCATCACTCTCATCCGCCTCACCCCATACTATGTTAGCAAGCTGAAAACAATCCATTATAAAAAATATAATAAATATAAACGAGGCAAAGCTCAACAAGAAAAATAAAATACGTAAAGATGCTAGCAGTAAAGAAATTCAAAGACAAAAAAGAAAGTTAATACTGTGGCAACAATATAAAAGTGTTTTCTGTCATTTCACATTTTGTGGATCCCATGGCCATTGCAACATGGTAGTTTATAGCAGCCATGATTGACATGGACCCTCCTTCGATGCTTTAAAATTTGCTTTTAAAAGAATTTTTTATATGTTTGACTCTCCAGAGTTTTCTTCTCCCACTATCTCTTGGGACAATTGCCACTCATTCTCACCTTCACCATCAACCAGTGATTCTAGCTATAGCAAAACCATTTTTTTTTTTTATCTCTTCTATTTTTTTCTCAAATCTTCTTCATCTGTTCCTTTTACTTCAGAATCTATTCTTTATCTCTTCTCTATATTTCTTGTTTTTCACTTCTCTGTATTGTTTTAATTTCAGTTTTTGTTTCATCTTTTTTTCTGTTTTCCTTTTTTTTCCTTCTATATCTTTTATTCTACTCTTTTCTGTTTTTATTTTATTTTTCTTCTCTTTTTTATTCAAATTGTCTCGGTGCCATTTTTTCTTCTTTTTCTATTTTTCTCATTTTCTTCATCCGTCTAGTTTTCCCCTCCATCATCTCCTTCTCACTTCTACGATATTTTTAGTTTTCTGTTTGTTATCTTTTCTTGTTAATGTTGTTTTGTGATTTTATGCTTACTTATGAGACTGATAGATGTTATTTCATAGAAAATATTTCTAATGTTGTTAATTTTATATATGATATTAGTTTTTTTTACGTATATTAAGCAGAATGTTTGGTATATTATTATTATTATTATTATTATTATTATTATTATTATTATTATTATTATTATTATATATATATATATATATATATATATATATATATATCACACATAGGCTATGTTTGTGCTATTTGCTTGTAACCATCATTTGCAATACAACAAATTTTTGGCTGTTCAATATGGACCATTCATCTACAATTGATAACATTGCTGACACACTTAAAACCAAATATATGTAACAACTTAATCCTATAAAACTTTTCAAGATATATAATTCTTAACATTCCGTTACATCTTGATTAATTAAACGTCTGCTATAGACATGCGTTGTCCTCCATTCATTTTATTTAATTCTCAAATTTCCTATCTTCCATACACATCTTTCCATCTTAACACCCAAATATTTTCTTCCTTCTCTCGAGGCAACAATCACAATGTGAATAATTAAAATATGGCTCCATGCATCAAACATTTCTTTGCCCTTCATAACAAATAAAGTATAATTTCTGCCTTATTAAAGTAAAATTGACAGGGAATATGCAGTCACAAATTGGACCATGGTACCCAAGATCTTCAAAAGTAATGCCCTATAAGCACAAAGACGAGAGTAAAAAGTTGCAGAACACAGAAATGACAATAGGAACCAGTACTTAAAACTATAAGTTCTTGTTATTGTTTTACCCAAATACATGTTTGACATCAATTCCTTTTATTTCCCTGTGCACTACAATAAACAAATGAGACCTTTCTAGGAGACAGGCACTACGAAATACATACAAATCAGAACAACAACATTCCACCTCCATTACTCTTCGTTAATGCCAAACTTCATTTTAAGCTATCTCGAATATACTGGACTCTTACCAATTGTTTAGTTGGGCCGAATTGGATGGGAGGGGAGGGATTTTGATTATGATTTGTTGTTTGGTTCAATTTTATGAGGGGAATGGAGCGAGCAGAATCCCTACTCATCTAATCTTGGATCCCTTAAAATACTAGGGCGGGGGAGGGGGGGGGGGGGGATTTAAAGCATTTCTGTATTGACTAATCCCTAATTATGTTTAGAAATTTAAAAATTAATTATTTTTTAACATCTCTCCCCTCCCTTCTCCTTATCTCCCCTCCACTCCATTAACATTCTTCCTCTCCTATGAACCAAACAGTATATATAAAGGTCCAGAGCAATTATGATAAGACCTCTCAGAATGCAACTACCAAGTTCCATCTGCAGTCCACTCAATTTTTTCCAAAACACTGGTTACTGGATCGAGTTCACTCTTCATCCCTTTATCTAATATCAGACCATCAACCAATTTCGCCTGCAAGGCATAAACTATAACGATCCACTTCTCCTAAATTCCATATTGAAATACTTTAATATCAAACCTCAAACTGAAACAAGGACAAACGAAGCACTAATACGTTTCTCAACATCTGGCATACCCTTTCAAAACCTTGTAACCAAATCCATATTTAAGAAGGCTATACTTTTAAAATGGGATTATATTCCCGGATTATACTTAACCGTCCTTTTTATTCACAACACAACGAATTCTCTGAACATCTAAACAGATTAAGAAGGCAACAAAGTCATTCTTCCTTCCTTCTAGCTTAGATTTGAACCTCGAACACACAAACACAACTAATTTCACCAACTGTTGGTGAAAGTTCCCAATAATATTCAATTTCCAAGAAACTTTATATTTTGTTACAAGCATTTCACACCAAAAGGGTAAACAAAAGGCAACAACTTCAAGACAACATATTCACTTTCATCTAAACTTCTTATAATCATTCCAGACTCAAGTCTCAAACCACCAAAATACAACTCAATTTATTTTAAAAAATAAAATTATACAACAATAATACCCTAATCCGTTTAGTAAAAATATATTAACAAAAAAGCATCTGACAAACTACTATCTAATAATAGTAATAATAACAACATAAAAAAGGGGAAAAGAAATTGAAAATTTGACTAACCTCTTCGTCGTTCCAATCAAACATTTCTTACATGCGAGACACAGAAATTGTATAAACGAGACACGGAATCGAACAGCAGAGAATGAATTACTCCACTCATCGCCGAGAAAAACTCCGAAGATTTTCACACAGAGAGAATCAGCACAACAACAACAACAAACGAAGCAAGCGCTGCAAAAATACGTCGTTGCGGGGAACTCGCTCGTCTTTCACATGACGCGCGGCGCGAAGAAAGGGGGGCGAAAGAGAGAGAGGACAGTTTTGAGTAAAACGGACATGGAGCGAGCGAGTGAGAGAGATAGCGTGAGGTGACGCACGGTTGACACGTGTGAGCGTGCGTATCTAAAGTAGTGGCTCTGAGTGAGTCTATCAAATACCGCATCCTCATTGGTTCTTTACTTTTGTGTTTCACGTTTCGGGGGTGGGGCCCACTTGAAGGTCTATGTAGTGGCTCAGGTGCCATTAGAGGTCGCTTTCGTGGGACCCACACGTTCGCGTTTATCCACTAGTTCGTGGTGTTGTTCTATGTTCAAAACAGATAAATATTACAAAACTAAAATGGGATCCATTTTTACTTTGCACGTTTCAAAAAAAGGGTTTTCTTTTTTCATGGTACTATCAATATTAAAAGTAGAAAAATTTTCAGAAGTTCTGCATTTCGAAAGCAACGATAAGTGTGATAAGAAAATTATAATGGGTAACAAAGTAGAAATGATAAAAAAAATTATTTATTTCTATTATTAATAAAACATTTAATTAAAATTTTTAAAATACTAAATGAACATAAAGACGACTCCACTTTGTTCGGGTTCCGTAGACCAGCGCCTTATCCATTGGGCCATGTAGTCAATGTTCGAAAATGGAGCCTAAAACATTTAAAATAAACACTTTAATAAATTTAAGTTTATTTTGTTTACTAAAACAAATGCTACGCCTAGAGCCTTTTATAGTAAAAGTGGTTTAATTAATTTTCTTTTACCAAATTATGGAAAGATTTAATTTATTTTCCTTTACCAAATTTAAAATGATAATAAGGTCATTTATTGAAGTTCAATTTTAAACCAATCATACACAAGTCTCACACCTTATATTTCATATTTTAAAGTTTAATTTTTATATATACGTAATATTTTTCTCTCACCTAGCGAATAACCCTTTTGTTAGTAATAAGGAAAATGAAAATAAAAAATTCGTTTGAAGAAATCATTAGTAATATTGTAAGTTATTATTACACATATATTTAATAAAAATTTCCTAGCACCCATGTTGTTGAGCACTCCAATCCTTTTTTCCCTTTTCTTTTAATTAAGAAAAATAAAAATGTAAATTTATTTGATAGATTTGTTTCCAATTTTTTTATTTTTAAAATGAAAAATAAAAACAAAATTAATAGATGTTTATGCATTATTATTTTCCTTTCCATAAACTTTTGATAATTTCATTTTTAACTTGTTGATTATAAATAAGACTAACTACATTGCTAGAAAATTAGGATAATAATGTCATGATCAAAAAATATATATAACAACATGTATAAGATTCAAATAAAAAATAAAAGTATTAATTAATTCAACGATTATATAACAATAATAGTTTATAATTTGATAGTGTTGAAAATGCAAGGATATGATGACTAAAGATTTTGATGATGATTCAAGAACAAAGAACTTTAAGATTAGAAGATTTATATTCATTTGAAATTGCTTGTAATAACTCTCTATTGTCATCTTACAAATAGAGTCCATGATAGTCAGTACTTAATCTGTCCACAAAAGTTTCATTCTTATCAAGGTCGCACTTGAATAATCGATTATTGCTTATGATAATCGATTATCTTGGATAAAACTTTAGTTTTTTGAAAGACACACTAGAATACTCGATTATTGTTGTGGATAATCCATTATCTTATATAATTTTCAAGTTTTCTAAAAGTGGCTCTGGAATAATCGATTATCACTGATGATAATCGATTATCTATGGTTGTTATGGATCTGAATTCGAAATTGACTCTGGAATAATCGATCATTGTTGATGATAATCGATTATCCTAGACAAAAATGGTTTTCCTATATTTGGCTCTGTGATAATCTGTGTCAGTTATGAATTTGAATTTCAAATTTCAGACTTAATTTTCGAAAACCCTAAAACTCTATTTAAAGAACTCTTATGCTCTCTACAAAGTAAGACAAACCTTTTTCATACTCAGAAAAGTTAAGAGTTGTGATTGTTGGGAGAACTTTGAGTAAGGAAGAAAAAAGGGCTTTGAAAACCTAGTGTGGGCTAGAAGCGATAAGAATCATTGAGTGGGATTCTCAGTGGATTGAGTGTTATGTCGTATCTAGGAAAGTTGTCTTCATCCTTTGTGACTTCAAAGGAGGTGTTCATCTCTTATATGACTTAAAAGAGGTGTTTTCTAATCTTTATCTACTTGTAATCTGTTTATTTGAGAACCATTATTATAGTGACTGAGTTAATCCTCTTTTAGAGTGATTAACAACTGGACGTAGGGTCTTTTGATCCGAACCAGTATAAATTACTTATGTAATCTTCTTCTCTTATCTCTTTACATTTCAAGTGTTTTATTATATTATCATTTAATTGGTAAAACTTGTGAAAAGTTTTTAAAAGGGATAATTTTTATAAGAAACCAATTCACCCCCCTCTTGGTTTTTGTCTTTAACGCAAATATTTCGCTGCGCAATACCATCAAGTGGTATCAGAACTTGCTTTGATAGTTTTTCAAATTTTCAAAAATGGCCGGACAAAATCAAACTTTTGCTGAGGGTGCCTCTATTAACAGACCCCCACTTTTTGCTGGTCAAAATTATCCTTTCTGAAAAGTTAGGATACAAATATTTTTGAAGTCTGTTGACAGGGGTGTTTGAGATACTGTTGTAAATGGTCCTTTTATTCCTAAAATGATTGTAAATGAAGTAGAGCAACCAAAATCGTTTTCTAGATGGACTGCTGAAGAAAATAGAAAGAAAGGTTCAATATGATGTTAGGGTTAGAAACATTATTTCATCTACTTTGACCCTTGATGAGTTTTACAGGATATTTGTATGTAAAAGTGCTCAGGAGATGTAGAAAATACTAAGAGTGACTCATGAAGGAACCGACGATGTGAAAAGAGCAAGAAAGAACTCCTTGATTCAAGAATATGAAATATTTAGAATGCAATAAGGAGAAACAATTTTTGACGTCCAAAAGTATTTCACACACATTGTGAACCATCTCTCTGGGCTTAGTAAGAATTTTGATACTGATGAATTGAATGTTAAAATACTAAAATCTTTGGACAAGAAATGACAACCTAAGGTGACTGTCATCACGAAGTCACAAAATCTAGCAACTATGACTATGACGGCTCTCTTTGGAAAATTGAGAGAGCATGAACTTGAATTAGGAAGACTAAATGATGAGGAATGCCAAAATATCAAGAAAAACTTAGCTTTTGAGACTGAGGTCTCAAAAAGCAAGAATAAAAAGGAAGAAGAAGATTCTGAAAATGAAGAAGATGAGAACTTAAGTCTCATGATCAAGAAGTTCACAAAGTTCATGAAATCAAAAGGAAAGCAACCTTTCAAAAGCAAGAGGAAAGAAAAGGAAGAATCTTCACCAAACTTCAAATGCTATGGATGTGGTGAAACAGGGCATGTGAAAGCAGATTGTCCTAACAATAAAAGAAGTGATGAATCAAAAAGAAGAAAATCCTTTAAAAAGAAAGCTTACATTGCGTGGGAGGATATTGACTCTAGTTCAAGGTCAAGTGATTCTGATGTTGAAGCAAATCTTTGCTTAATGGCAAACAACATTTTCTCTTTTGACTGTGAGACAATTTCAAAATCCAAGAAGTCTATGTAGTACCTTGAAAGTGGATGTTCAAGACACATCACTGGTGATAAAAATAAATTTGTAAGTTTCAATAAGAAAAAACAAGGATACGTGACTTATGGAGATAACAACAAAGGAAAAATCATTGGAACCGGGAACATTGGTGGTGCAAACACTTTGGAGATAAAGGATGTGCTCCTTGTTGATGGACTAAAACACAATCTTCTTAGTATAAGTCAACTATGTGATAAAGGACTTAAGGTAATTTTTTAAAGCAATTACTGCACCATACATCTTAAGGATTCTAAAGAAATAGTATTAAAAGGTATTAGGCATAACAATATTTATTTGATTGATTTGGATTGTGCATCTGATGTAGATATAACATGTTTGGTTGTTAAAGAAGAAAACCCTTGGTTGTGGCATAAAAGAGCAGCCTATATTCATTCATATGCATCAATTGAACAAATTAATCTCTAGAGATTTAGTTGTTGGTTTGCCTAAGTTAAAATTTGAAAAAGATGAATTATGTGATGCATGTCAAAAATGTAAGCAAGTAAAATCATTTTTTAAAACTAAGAACATAGTTTCAACTTCAAAGCCTTTAGAACTTTTACATTTAGACCTTTTTGGACCATCTAGTATTAAAAGTTTTGGAGGTAATTATTATGCTCTTGTGATTGTTGAAGACTTCTCTAGATTTACTTGGACATTATTCTTAACTTTGAAAAGTGAAGCCTTTAAGGTTTTTAGAAAGTTTGCAAAACAAATTCAAAATGAAAAAGAGTAAAGAATTAAAGTGTTAAGAAGTGATCATGGTAAAGATTTTCAAAATGAGTCTTTTGAAAATTTTTGTGAAGAAAATGGTATTTCATATAATTTTTCTACACCTAGAACGCCTCAAACAAAATGGTGTAACAGAGAGAAAAAATAGATCCTTAGAGAAACTAGCTAGAACTATATTGAATGAATCAAAAGTTCCTAAATACTTTTAGGCAGATGTTATAAGTACTGCATGTTATGTTTTAAATAGAATGATCATTAGACCTATCTTGAAAATGACTCCTTATGAGCTATTTAAAGGGAGAAAACCAAATGTAGGTCAATTGAAAATCTTTGGTTGTAAATGTTTTGTGTTAAATAATGATGAAGATAACCTAGGTAAATTTGATTCCAAAGCCGATGAGACTATCTTCTTAGGCTATTCTCTTACTAGTAAAGCATATAGGGTATTTAATAAAAGAACATTAAATATAGAAGAATCTATGCATGTTACTTTTGATGAAATTGTAGACCTTGAGGAAAATCCTCTTGAGTCAAGAAAAGAAAATGCAGGTGATGAAGAGTACCTTAAGAAAACATTAGAAGAAATGTACTTAAATGAAAATGAACCATCTCAACCATCCGAGTTAGAAAAAACATGGCAATCACCAAGAGGATTTTCTCTTGACAACATAATTAGTGATATTTCAAAAGGGTTAAGTAATAGAAATATGTCTAATTTCTGTATGACTGTAACTTTTGTCTCACAGATAGAACCCAAGAATGTTGAGGAAGCCCTCAAGGATGATCAATGGTGTATTGCAATGCAAGAAAAATTAAATCAGTTTGAAAGAAATCAAGTTTGGG